AATAACAAGCGACTGTTCGATCTAGGATTGTTTGCTATAGCTATATTTTTAAAGATAAGGGGCACGAATAATTATGTTTTGATTGAACTCTTTATATGAAAATTAAATTATTTGCTTACTTTTATCTCTTCATGTGAAGATATTGTTATAATTTTATAATATTTTTTTCAGGTGTTCCCCACAACAACCTACTACATTCGCATTATTTAAATTAACTCAAAAACTACGCATCAGAATTGGATCAAATTTACATGAAATCACATGAGCAGCATCAGCTATGTAAAAAAATCATAGTTATTGAATTGGTAAAAAACATAAAAAATACAGTTAAATGGAGAACCTTCTCTTTCTTTCGTAGTGGTTTTAAAAGTGCTGCATGGCGCAAGTAATTTATTTTTGGAAACGCAAACATTTTTCACGCAAATGTGAAGCTAAAATGCAACCAATTCATTTACATTGTACCATTCGAACCGTATACATAAATTGGATATAAAACATGTGTAATATAAAACTGTTCGTCCATATTACGTATAGGCGCTTACCATGAATCGTGTAGTTCGTACTATGCAGACAGTATTACTTATTTTAGGTGCAGTCCGAACATATCGATTTATCACAGTGCGTCGATATAAATAAATTAATAGGTGTAATTTAAATTATACAATCTTATATATGTACAGAAACTCATCTTATTACTTACCGCTATACAATTAAGCATTGACGAAACAGCACATGAAACAAATAAATACAGCATTAAAATATATTCTGGTATGTAACGCTATGAATTTCATACAATTATTAACACATTGTATAGTCAGTTTGACAAGAATATAATTAATATTCAGATTAACAAATATAGCAGCATTGCACTATTACTACTACACTACAACAACTATTACTTCATTTCGACATACCTAAACATGGAAGACAACACGTACCGACATCCTCAAGACTATCCGTGCTCATATATTTTATATCCATTAATTTGTCTAACGCAATGTATAATAATTATGGTTTCGGTAATAAATATAAAAAATAAATGAAACGTATATGTATAATAAAGCAAAGCATACTGCGATATAAATCATCGCACTATTCGGTGAATCAGAAGAATGTATAAGTAGGCATTGTTTTAAATCGTGATTGTTTTCAATGTTGGACAAATTAAACAAATGACGTGAACAATTAAATACCAATAAACAATCAATATTCTTCGCATACAAGAGTAACGACTTTATGAGATAGGTAGCAGTACTTGAATTTAATCATGTACCTAGAATTGTTTACAATATGTTGATACACATTTAAACATCCTAAGTTCCTTGAAATAAGTCAATATATAAAAGTAACATATCCGTTTAAAAAATGGACTTTTCTCCAATTATATCACTATTTACAAAGATTCCACAACATTTCCACATTACATAAGAACAATTGTATGAAATGTCGTTATTCGAAATAATACGTAAAAAAATAATCTTACATAATGATAGGCTTGAAGTCTCCATCGCCTCCATTGCAACAATTCAGTCTTACTTTCTTCTTGTGATTATTCACTAGTATATATTTTTAATCAAATAATATTTACAACGAAGAACATTCATAGTAAGATTAGTCTTGGATCCACTAAACTCGTAACAGACGTTTCAAACTGATTCGAAATGTTTAGAAACCGTACATGTATCAATAAACAAACAAATCATTGACTGGTTACTAGATAAATATTGACTACGAGTATACGACAAAGTTTCGAATGCTGTTAGTATAGGGTACGAGTTAAACGCATGTCTAGATGTTTACGTGCGTGAGATGCGAGTGCCCTGCCTGGTCGTACCGCGATTACGGAGAGCAGGCGGTCTGTGCGCGGCTGTCAGCGAGGACTGAGGTGCATACGCCGCCGTAACGCATGCCGTTACCGTATATAGGTATTTCAATGGATTGCAATGAATGCTCAACTCGGAGAATTTTATATTATTTTAGAATGATTGTCGTCGAATTATATTTATTATATGCTAAATAATCATAATAAATATGGCCAAATTTTATATTATTCTTCTCATTCAATATGTTCTTGACAGAACCGTTGTTATGTATTGGGTAGGAGGCTGATATCATCCGCCGTACGACAGTCACTCAAATAACCACATACAGGGTTCACTGTTTCAGTAGGCTCTTTTTACACATATTTTAGACATGTTAGTCTATTAAAAATAATCGCAATATGTGCAGTATCAATTACAAACGGGGTAAACATGATAGTAAGTTTCCGCGTGAGAGCTCAGTCTCTTTCCAGGATGAGGTCACACGGTCCGTGAGCACGACACAATAAGAAGCTACCACGTAGGCGCGGTAATCTATATAAGCATAGTAGCTTTTGTTACTTAATTATCCACATTTAATCATGAAACTCGAGCATAAATACCAAAATGTCAAAAATCAAAAATTCTCAAGTTTTTCACTGAGAAAGATGCTCCATTATTGGATCTCAGTACTACATTTTTATTATTAACGACTTTTTTTAATTATGGTCCAAGCTAAATTGAATGAGTGCAATTCACTCTCTATTTCCCTCTCTCAATGTGGTACAAAAAATATTTTGTCCCAATGCAGTATGTCTAGGATGGCCATAATAAATACCAATATATTAGGTACTAAGATTATGACAATATATACAGAACAATAATGGATGACACTACTTTTTTCATAGAATTTTGTACCACTTGTGCCGCAGACACCAATAAATAATTATAATTCTTAACAGCCTTAATAATTGTATTAATATTTAATAAAGCATAATAATTAATAATATTAATAAACAACCAGCCTTAATAATTTGTATTAGCAATAATATATAACAAAGCATTTGCCAATTCTAGTCTATTGTGACTAAAATTGGTAAATATATATGAAACACAAAAATTGTATATTATTAATTTTTCTGAAATACTAACAACATGTCACAACAATTCTTCAGTTCCATGTCTACAAATTGTTTCTACTCCAACTGCCAAACATTAATATAAATACACAGTTAAAATTATTACTGACAAAATCTTATTCTTCATAGGGTAAATGACATAACACAACTCATTATATTATAGAATAGTAACTGCTTACTCATCTTTTAATATAATGATGTAATGTTATTATCAGAACAATATAATTATAGTATTGAACTAAACTTTATTCAAATACAGATCCTTATAAAGTCATATGATTGTTGCTCAGAAAATATAATAATAATATAGTTAATTTAAGAAACTGCCTTGATATCAATTACCATTGAAAACAGCACAGGAGACATTTTTTTATAGTTCAGGCATACTTCAGAGTTCTAAACTATCTTAATAAAAGTTATCGAGGTTTTCTGAATTTAAGTTAAAATTGAATCTTTTAGAATTTGACAGTATATAGTACCTTTATTATTATTACGCACCATACACATCTATGAAGTAATAATAACCATCTTTATATGTCTCAAATAATAAACAATTACAATTGCTGCTTATAATAAAAGTAGAGGAATAATTGAGACAAAATAGTCTATAACTCAGAGGGGGCAGTGGGTCCACCTCTCTGCTTTTAGCCTTTATTATTAAATTAAGACAAAAAAATCAACAATTATAATAGCACACAATCAACAAGTTCAAATTTGTCCTTTACTACAAAGAAAACATAAAAATTTTATAATAACATTACAAAAGTGGCAATATATGAAATTTTAGTATTGATTGATGCAGTGTAGCACTCAATCTTAATATTTAGACTACGGAGACATGACTAATATAATTTTTAATAGACAAATATATATTATGATTTGATCAGATGGTAAATATACAATCAGAAAATACTCCAGAGTAAAAAATAAAATGAGACACTAATTCAACCTAACTTTTTGCATTGTAAACAAACACAATAAGCTATTGAACATTATTCTATATTCCTACATGGCATATAGAATGTCCACGTTGATTGCTGTAGTACTGTATATGGCTTGCATTTATGATTAGCTAGTTTGGACTCTATTTTACTTAATTATTACTGATAAACATTAAGTAAACAATAATCGTATAGCAGTAATATTTCCATATCAAATACTAGCATATTAGCTAATAATTATTCTTACAAATGCGAGTTACCATTTGAAATTTTGAACCCCAGATAAACATATGAATAGACAGTAAGATCTCTCCAATCTTTAATTACATCAAAAGCATTAATTTTTATATTTCATTCTATACTTAGAAGAAGGTACACAATATAAATATACGAAAAAAAACATTTCTTAGACTAAACCCAATAAACAGTTGGCGCGAATTGCCAAATATGTCCCTAGAAACAAATATGGAAGTACCGTAATAAGAAAGTCTGTAAATACCTGATCTCTGCATAATGTTAAAACTGTTGAAACTATATTCAAATCAAAAACATGTCTTCAAAACAATTTCTCTACATCGACAGGAGTAAACTGTCAACAGAGTTGTACGCCCTTGCTTCCCTTTCCTTGTCGTTCGTTATAGCGCACCCGGTAGAAAAATTGATTTTTGAATATGGTTACCAGAACTAAAAACACGTACCTGAAAAAAAAGAAGCACCAAGGATAATGCTGAAATGTTTACGAAACGAAACGAAACTGAACACTCGCAACATTTTGTATTTTTTACAAAAAAGAATACCACAAATTTTAAGAGAGGTCTTGTTAATCGTACATATAATTTAAATAGTAAAAAAATATTAATACCTATTAATCCATTAGTAGTATAAACATAGTTATTTTTCCTTTTTAAATTGTGATTTTGTATTAGTCAATATACCTACATAATAATTTTCTAACGTATACTTATAGTTTATTTATTTATGTAATAATAATTAGAATGCAAGATGCTTAATAAATAAAAAATTAATGGTTAACACATTGGATGATATAATACCTTCCTAAATCATATTTTATTCCTTAATACAATTGTGCCCTCTGTCGATGAAGTCTTCACTTACTATTTGATTGACGTCGGTAATTCGTTTGATCAATAATCGATCATAGTCGAACTGTACTTTACATACCTTGATCCTGTATCAAAGAATAAAATAACTATTATTGTTTACGATCCAGTCTGAATAGAGATCTCAAATTATTTTGTCTCAATTTTATTCAGAACTATATAGTATAAAAGTGAAACACTTTTTACGAAGTTTACCGTTATAAAAATATATATTAGCCATAATTATCTTTAAAAAAAAGTACCAAAACAGAGGACTACTGCATTATGATTTTTAATAAATTTAGATATTTAAATTTCATTCAAATGTTCATACATTGCAGATCAGGATATTGTAGGAAAAAAGTAACACAGGTAACTTTAACTGAATATCATAAAACAATTAAATTAAAATCTACATTGTTTACTTCTGTAAGGGAGTTCAAAACCATATGACAAACACAACCCTGAACTAATACTATCATTATCAACCCTACTAATAGTGCATTATTATAAATGAAAGCAATGGTCTGTATCAAGTGTAATGTGGTCGATACAATGGTGTAGGTCAAGTACCTACTACCTAGTTTATACTAAAAAAAAATGTAAAGAAGTCTTGCCAAAAATCTTGAATACTGTCCTAAATGCAATAAAGTCACACTTTGTTTGATTCAACCAAACTTACATGATATTATTAGCCACAATGAGACTGATGGCCAATGACTATAGTCTGTTCACAGTTTCAAAGGTGGAATCGGACCCCTTAGTGTGCAAGTTAAATAATAAATATTAATTAAATCAGCTGTTGCCATTATACACACTGACAATACAAACTAAAGTACTAGACATATCTATTTATCACTTAGTTTTTTATATTGTAATGTCTAGAGGAGTCAAATAAAAGTTTTATACAGAGTATTAACATAGTTTTTCTTATTTTAGTTTCATAACATCAGAACACAAATATTTGTACTATCTGGATTAGGTATCCTATGGCCAGCAAAAAAAATTAGTGGCAAAACTTCAGGAAACAAAATAGAACCTCCAGCAGAACTTGAAAAGGCAGATATATTGTTTGAAAATGGTCACCTTGAGGAATGTTATGATTTACTTGCGTATTACAAGGTATGTCTATTTATCATTATAAATTATAATGGTAATATTATAAAATTATAATGATGTTATATTTTAAACTAGTTTTGAATATTTATTAACCCATTCTTATAATACCTGCACTAGTGTAATTGGTGTAGGTTTATTTAAAACATAGTCTCACCTGCCAATGGGCATGGATTTATTTTAATTTTAATTACTTGTAAAAGTTTGTATTATATAGGCAATACAAACTTCTACATTTCTTAAAATCACTATTTTGGTACATACTTTTATCTATATTATATAGAAGACATCATCTTCCAGCCCTAATCTATTCTGAAATACTATTTTTTTATTATCCAATGTCCTGTTTTCTTTAATATGTTATATTGTTTTAGAATGCTAACTTAAGAATGGTCTCATTATAGCTGGGGCTGTTGGTACTATTTCATGCAATGTAGGTTATTATTTGATATATCCAGTACTAAAACCAATAAAAAATAACTAAATAAAATAGGGAAAAAATTGCTTCCAGCAATAACACTGCCTTATTCTAATTAAATTGTACATGTGTTTTTAATATATTGTTTGTCTTTATTATGTTCAAAATAAAGTATATTCTATGTATCTAATATTGTATTGGTATACCTACCTACATATATGTTTTTTTTTATTTTTGGCAGGATAACAATGTGGATGTACAATGGCGCATATGTCGTGTTCTCTACAACATGTCCAAAGAGACTAAGTATGACAAAACATATAGAAAAGAACTAATAATGCAAGCATATAACATAATATCAGAGCAGATAGTAAATAATCAAGCACATTTTGAAGTACAGAAATGGTATGCCCTGTTATTAGATGCGAAAAGCTCATATGATGGCATAAAAGAAAGAATAAGACAACTGGAAAATGTTAAGAAACATATGGATGTAAGTTTAATTGACAATTAAATGTTGTCAAATTTTAATGTTTGACCAGAAATAGATATTAATCGAAATCTAATTTCATTCGTACACATTTTCTGCTAAAAAACTCAATTTGTCATGTCTCCTGAATTTCACCACAGCACTATCTGACAAATGCTAAAATACCATTCTAATCATCCTCATCATCTGGATGAAAGATGATCCTCCACCATGTGTTTTTCCAGAAACTTTGCCACACACAACCCGAATGTGGAATCTTCCAGCCATGGTATTTCCAAAACAATATGATCAAAAAAACAGCTAATACCTTCTTAAAATACCGGCAATGGGATTGCAATTCCCCTGATGTTGCTAGTGCTCATGGGCAGCGGTCATTACTTACGATGAATTGAGCCGCAAGCTCATTTGTATCTTATGCTATAAAAAATCTATCCATTCCTTTTAATATCAACGGATTAGATGGTTCCTAACTATAACATCATTTTAACAAATATTGTTTTGCAGCTGGCTGTTACACTGAAACCAAATGACGCAACTACATTACACATGTTGGGAGAATGGTGTTATCAAGTCACAGAACTTCCATGGCATCAGCGTAAGATAGCAGAAACATTCTTTGCATCACCACCCCAATCTACTTATGAAGATGCTCTTGAATATTTTTTGAGAGCAGAAACAGCACAACCGCGTTTTTACAGTTTGAATTTGCTCCGATTGGGTGATTGTTACTTAAAATTGAATAAAGAAGATCAAGCCAAATATTACCTTAAGTTAGCTGCTAGTTATCCAGCTAAATCAAATGATGATCACCGTGCTAATAAAGAAGCAGCTGAATTGTTAAAGAAAATCAAAATATAAATATTTTAGATGTGCAAATAATAAATTAACTAATTGAGATATTGCTACCAAGATTCACTTTCATGAGTGTTGGTATATTTCAACAACCACATGTACCAATACAAATTTATACAAAATTCTTGGGGAAACACAATAATACTGTAGGCTGGTAATATATTTATATTTCAAATGTTAAAATATTGTTTCAAATAGCTAAAGCCATTCCAGAGATTGTCCTCCACTTAACTACTCAAATACGTGGTTTCGAGTTCGAGACACCTATTATACTGCCGTATTTATAAAAATAGTTATAAATAATAATGTATTTTTTATTAATATTATATTTTATATCTAATACTGATGTGCAATTATTTGTGCACTAAAGAAGCAGCCACAGTCTGTGAAATTAATTTAGTATAGAATGATGTTAGAGGATTTCTAGAATTTAATAAAAATAACTTATAAATTATTACCCTCAGTGTTGTTCTCAGAGAATGTAATCCAGATCTTGGAATCTCGAAAAATACTTTAATATTACAAATATTACTACTACTAACTAGAGAATTAGTCATATAAAATTACGTGTCTCAGACAATTCAATAAACATTTTAGCGCCTTATTGAACGGACTGATTTCAATGCATTTTATTATTTTTTTTATAGCATAGATGGCAAAATTATATACTATAATTTAATAGGATTTTACAGATTTTTAAAAAATATTATATGATACTAGCTGTCCCGGTAAACGTTGTTTTGCCATATAAATTAATAACGCTATAAAAAAATGGGGGTTGATGATAGAAGGGTGAAAATTTAGGATTGTATGTATTTTTGTATGTTGTATCAGAAAAAAAATAGAAACTAAAAATTTTGTCAAAAAAATAAAAAAATTAGGGGTAGACTACCCCTAACAATTAGGGGGATGAAAAATAGATGTTGGCCGATTCTCAGACCTACTCAATACGCTCACAAAATTTCATGAGAATCGGTCAAGCCGTTTCGGGGGAGTATGGGAACGAAAACTGTGACACGAGAATTTTATATATAAGATATACAGAAATAAAGACTAGACAATATTATCGCACCCTTCGAGAAAAGGTTTACAGTAGGTTTTATAGTATATTAAAAAAATATGTAATTGTTAGCTCATTGGGTGTGTAAAATGTCGTCTAAGATTGGCCTACCACACAAGAAATAATGTCTGGCCACTAACAAGTTCACCAATTAGTTTTTATTTAACTTGGTCGATATATTTTATTATAGCTTTTTAGTTATAGATCTAGCTAGTTAACCTTATAATAAACAAAATTATATTTTTTAGAAGAATTTATCACATAATTTATTGTGATAAGTGTGTAAGTGATATATTGTAAACTGACAGAGTAGATACTTTATTTACAATAAAACGAAATAAACTATTATATAATATTTAATATTTGAAATACAGACTCTTTCATAACTACAGCATGTATACTTTTATAAATAATTAACCCCTAATCTAATAATAATAAGCTACAGTTAGAAAATTCAAGTTCAATAATAAAATCACAGTAAATGTAATATTTCTTATAAAGATTATGAAAATAATAGTATTAGCACCATTTAAATCATAAGTAACCATAATTCTTTGAAAATATAATTGTAAATTAAAAAAAAATCATTTCATAAAAGTAGAGTTATCGTCCAATTGTTCTTTGTTTATATTGTTCGTATAACACGTTCGTTAATATTATCCAAAAGGTCATGTATAATATTTTATGTAAACCAATAAGTATATTTTGATGTGCTTATTAAAAAAAATATATGCCTTCGCAAATGTTGAAATTTCAGATATAATAATATAGAGTAACGAAGGCGTCCATTCGTACTAAAGCATGAACATGGTGCTCAATATAATCTTTTCAAAGCATTTAACAGTTTGTAAATATTATATAAATATTGTAATTAATATCATAAGATACAATAAACGATTCTTTTAAATTAATCTTATTTCCTATTTTAAAAATTTGCAAACACTTGACTGTCTGTCACTCAATCTCACTTTAAAACAACTGAAACATTTCAATGATTTTTTCTAAAAAGTGGACTAATACTGTGGTATAGATATTTAGAAAAGTTTTGTGATAGTAAAAAAAGTTGCTTATAACTTGTGACAAAAAATTTAAATACGCACAGATTTGCAATTAATAATTCACTTTGAGAGAGTTTAGAGTTCCCTTTGTAGAATGGGGTAACAAGGTACACTAATAATAATACATAAGAAAATATTGAAACACAATTTTTAACGTCAAGGCTCTGACTAGACTTAACTTATGAGTATACGAGTATACGAGACATACATTAAATATAACATACAATGACTTTTATAACAATTAATCCACAAACACTACAACCTAATTTAAGAGAAACCGCCAAAAGCACCAACACGAAAACCATGTCAAAAGCAAAATCATTAAATAATGTAAAAAGTGTTGACAAGAATAAGTTTAAAGTTGTCACAAACGAAGGTGCAACTAATGCTCCATCTCTACCTTTGTTTTGATTTGAGGGACAAATATTCATTTGTCCCTCAAATCAGCCAAACAGCTATACAAAATATTGAAGATAGCAAAGTTTTATGTATGTATATGTACGTATGTATATGTATGTACATTGCCCTTCCTGGGATTCTTAAAAGACCGTTTTTACGAATCGCAACGACTTTCTTCTAACTTTGTATATTTGGTCTATGAAATATAGTAGTCCGTTAATGTTACGCACTCAGAACGAGGGGAATACTACATTCAGCGGTTAATACAAAGCAAATACTATTGTAATTCATATAAACGAACTTCATTAGTCTCTCTTGATCATCAAGATAAGTTGTTTACTACATAATATTCACAGATATCCGAAATACATTTAAATTAAAATACAATCGCAAAAAAAATTAATAATTTCTTTCAATTACACTTCAATACTACCGTCACAACTCATTTTAATGCAATTAGGTTAAGAAATATCCAAAAATGTTAACCTTCATAAAGACTTTAAGCTAAATCAGACTCAAGTATGGAGTACCTTCTGAGAAATTCCAGTTCAGGGATAATTATATTGGTACAGTCGGCTACATTGAACTTGCACAATCTATAATGCTGAATAAAATGTAGATGCGATATTAATTCTATATTATGCACAAAATCAAAATATTCATATTATTACTTATTTTTAAAAAATTACAATAATAATACAGCAAAACTAGTTATATAAAAGTAATACGAATTTTATTACTACATACCTAACTACGTAATCTATGACTTTTTAAAGTGAATTTTAGTTTTTTGTTAATTAATTACAGTCACCTAATATATTTACGAAGTCGACTGTACCAGGCACGTATTAAACCTTGAGTGAAGTGTCTGCTTAATTTATATATAACACCTACAATAATTACATTTATAATAGCATTTTATAATACTATTATTACAATAGGATTCTGTATAGAAGTTCCAAAGACGGTTTTTTTATTCTTAGTATAATATATAGGAATAATAATATAAATTGTTGCTATAGCTGCTACAGCTTGTTGAAAATTTTACAACTTCTTGCATTTGAGTAGACAAGTATACATTATAAAAAAAATATATTTGTAGGTATACCTTGTGAATACGTCGACCTTACATTAATATAGTAAATTGATAGCACATTTAAAAATTGCAACTATTTAAATGCATACAGTATATGAACTGTGAGAAAAAAATAACAACTTCTAGACTACTAGAAATCAGAGGAAGCTTTATATGCAGTGTTATAACAAAGACAACCTAATGAAATAAAAACATTTAAATTCAATGAGACCACAACAATAAATTTGTTGATGAGATTCTTTAAAAATATTGTTTGAAGATATTTTATAGGGCCTAGAAGAAAATACAATATATTGCTTGTTATGATAGCATTGAATATTCTAAACAGTAAAGTGAGTTTGTATACTTCTCAGCGATTGATACGCTTTAAATCAATTAAAACGTCCAAGTAAGCTGGACGAAGTAATATGTTAAAATTTGTACCATATATTACAAAAAATGTAGTAAGTAATTTTGAGTTTAAATGTTTATTTTTCTATGTTTTATGTAGGCCGGAGCACGTAAATCTCAGTTTAATGCCAGTTAAAAACCCTTTCTAGAATTAAACTGAATAAAATGAAGTTTTCACGTATTTATGGACCGATTAAGCGTTTAAATATTCAGATCTAGGCCATTATCTAAGAATACATACATAATAGTATGAATAATTATAATTTATACATTCTATAATAATCTCAATTTCTATAATAATACAGTTTTTATAATAACACCCATATCTGCGTATTTTATACTATATAAACCATGAAAATACCAATTTTAAACTTAATTTTCAACTTCAACAATATTATTATTCCCTTAAGACTAAAATAAGCACACTTAGTTTGCTAACTTATAACTAATGTACATATAAAATTATCAAAAGTTATAAATGTTACATTTGTTTATATTGTGCAATAAAAAATAATATTGATTTGTAAATAAAGGAAATCTTGAACCAGAAAATTATGAGATTATACAATACAAAATATATTCATATATTGTCTTTATTACTAACCTCCAATATCCAGACAGATAATCCAAATTTATATTTCACCTCATTAGATGGCGTTATTCTATGGCGAATAAGATACTTCTTAGTTGTGAAAAATACTAAAATAAACTGTGATTCTTAATAACAGAGACATTGTGTATCTGTAATCTAATGTGGTGTTATTGTATTCACTTGCGTCGCCATAGCCTCTCATATTTATACACAGATTACTGTAGCAGCATTCCCTTCTACTACACTATGATGAATTAGATCAAAATACAGATTTCAAGAAAAAAGAAGTTACGGCTATAGAATAAGGAACTTTTAAACCGATAGCAATTACAGCTGTATATAGAAAAATATATTATTTCAAGTAAGTCTAAAATGTATATGTACTATATTATATTATACACATAACTATGAAGTTAATAAAAATAATGAGAATATTTTCTATTGTAAGAAACAAATGAACTTTAGTTCACTTCAGAGAGAAAAATAATTTACTCTAAGAAAAATTAAATAAAAATAGTTTTCTACTCTTATAATTGCGAATAAAAATATTTTAGAAAATGAAATAATACAAAAAATGCCATCAACCGTGTGTTACAATAACAGATCTGGATGTAGGAATATTATTTGGACGATCTATATATTCTGAGCACTTCATTTACAGCATTCCAGGACCATCAGATTCTTGATTACCAGATTTTTCAAAGAACATGAAATCCTGAAACAAATTTAATTATGTATTATGTTTTGGTATATATTAAAATTTTGCTGTTACACTGCTGCTCGCGCGATTATGAGTCTCAGAAATGACGTGAAATCAAAGTTGTGTATGCACCAGCCATTCTTTATAAACGGTGCATGTATTATCTATTTATGTGGATTATTATGTAGATGTCTAGTTTATGGCATAAATAAGTGGTTTTATCCCGGATACATTATCCTATTGTTGTTACAACAGTAGTAACATGTTACCATTACCATACCGTTGCGGTGATAGCACAGGAACAGTAGTGGGCATAAAACTTAATTACTCACTATTAAAAAGCAAGCTCCAAGTAAGACAGCCTTTATTTTTACGTCCAAGTCCATTGGAAAGGAAATGCCGAAATAATCCGAATCTGTGAAAGCCTCTCTGGCAAGTCCCGACCATTTTTTTGTTATCTTTCCCACTTTGGTTTCGCCATCTTTTGAGTAAACCTGTAATTAGACAAAAAAACATGAATTATTTTATCTTTAATTATATTACATATGTATTACTATTTTATAAAGCTGAAGGCTGTTACTTCAATCTTAATTTACCGATCAGATTATGAAAAAAACAAACAAAAAAAAATTTATAAAGTGAATAGTTTCAGTTTACACATACTAAATAATGTTGAAATTCTTCTAGATAGAAGAACTTCATCTTTTACATACATTTCATTAATGTTATTAAAACAATACTTATTTATTATATAACTCCTTGGAACGCGGAATTAGTTCTTATCGTCATCATCATCTGCTTCTTCCTTATCCCATTTATTTGGGGTCGGCGTAGTTAGTTCTTATATATATAATATAGATTAAATATTAAAATAAAAAAATGCTTTTTCAATAGATGTAGCAACAATATACTTACATAAAATTTGACGTCACCGCAAAGAGAGAAGGTGCAAACGGGTCCTTTAATTCTAAGCACAACATCGCCAACTGCGTTTTTGATAACGTAACACGGTTTGCAGATGGACCACTCCTGTTCAATGGAGCCAATGACCGTGCCAGGCGGCGCTGTCACTTCCATACTTTGTAGCCAACACGGGCACCAGCACGAATCACAAGCTAATGGACGGTGAAGGTGTATCACCTGAAACCACGGAATAACTTCTATATAAATATTATAAATGAAAATGGTCGAAAGGTCAAAAATGTCATACCTGTACGAATCACTGTACGGTCGAATGGTTGTCATCTCTGCTGTTTACTATCAAATGTTGTTTATTAGTAGGAAGGCAGTCTACTATTATTACGCAATGCGTTGTTATACCACTGACATTTTTGTGTCCAATTGCGATTAATATTGCGCTTTGGCCACGCCCTTTAACGTTTAATTTATAGACGGCCACCAACTACATTTAAGCAGTATTAAGCACTTTAATGTGTAAATTAAGTGTGTTATATTTTTACATTAGTCTCACCTCATTTCGATAATTATCGTAAATTTTCATGTCGAAGGGTCGCATCGGTCCACAGCAATTTCTAGTACAACAATCGTTATCTTCAACCGCGTAGTACACCTTTTGCCCGACACTATTCATTACTGTGTACTTATTGTTCGTTTCGAATCCCACAAAAGCCTCTAAAAGCTCCACTTTCTGACGCACAAGTAGTTGATCAATCAAAGACAGATATTCCAAGCCTGGCGGACAGTTGCTGAGGCCTTGAGGAATAGCCATCCAACCACCTGGAAAACGATATCATTTAATATATTAAATGATCCATCTGTAGATGGACCAGGTGAGAAAATATATTATATTCTAAATGATGCTTTTTACATTTTACACACACACGTATTTCACATCTATACATATAAATAAAATTGGAGTGTCTGTTTGTAATATTAAAATAACCAATGTTTACTACATGCATATGAATATAAATACGGTACATAACACCAAAATAACATTTTTTACAATTTTTGTGTCTGTCTGTTGGTCTGTTCGTTCCGGCTAATTTCTGAAATGGTTGCACCGCTTTTGACGAGACTTTTTTGACAGGTAGCTGATGTAATAAGGAGTAACTTAGGCTACTTTTATTTTAGAAAAATTTAGTTAAAGTTAAATTCCAAGCGGGCGAAGTCGCGAGTACAGCTACTTTACAATACAAATACAAATGTAAAAAGGATAAAAATATAATATTACCTACTTCATTCATGCATAATATGTTTTGTATACTATTATACTTACTTAACTTAATATATACTTATATAATTATGTAAAAAAATAATATGAATTATATGTATGAACTCTTAATTTTAGATTAATATATAAAATAGTCCAAAACTACCTATGTATATTAATGACATGGATATTACTGTTAAAAACTATTAAGATAAAGAGCCAAGTGCAGTCTTGTCAGTTCGTTTGGGACCAAGATATAAAATATGTTAAATATATTCTAAAGGAATCACTATTTATTATTAAACTTTTTCAATCCAACTATATTTATCATTAATATTTAACTTCAACCTTTTTTCTTCGTCTGTTAAAAACTTTTCGTAACCACAGTTTTTTGATTTGAAGGTATTTTTATATAGTCTACGCAATGATCTTCTTATACTGGCCACACTTAAAGTTTCAAAATAAACTCTTCTCTTATTTAAATTAATATTTGTACACTTCTTAGACATAAAATTCTTAACATTATTCCACTTTACTGAATTGTGATAACTTGAGGTATGTTGAATTTCATATATTTCGTTATTTAGTATTTCATAGCTATTATCTGAAGATACTTTTTTTGATACAGCCCACATTATATTATGCAATTGTAAAGAACAATTTTTCCGCCTTATATTATGATCACCTTACAAAATACGACAGCAATGTACGACGTTTACCTATCTTAATATTATTCCAACAACAAAGTTATTACATTATCTATCAACACCCTTGGAGTAAATAAATAAAGTAAATAGGGTTAGCATTGCAAATAACAAATCCTACTATCATATTATTGTGCTATGTGTAATATAAACCATGGCTGTCAAAAGATCCTTAGAATCATTTAAATTATATACATAGAAATGCTTGCACCCTCCATGTATAAAACATGGAGATTTAATTAGTAGTAATAATTGTGCAGAGAGCCCTCCAACTCTGAGGCATTACGGGCAAAGCCCTCCATGAACTATATACCTACCTTACCTACTCTAAGATATCGCTGGCGACTCGGCGTTGTCATAGTTCGAAGTTTGGGCAATTCATTCTATTCTAAGGATCGATGGAGGTCATAAGGGATTAGAAGTATTTAGACGTTTTGGTACGAGGGCTACACTGAAAGTTTTTAGAACTGGCTACTTGATAGCAATATAATAAAAAAAATTGTTAAAATTTTGAAAATGGAACTCTTTACGAATAGTACTGAGTATATGATTTATTCGTATGTCATGTGTTTTACGGTTTGGCGGCAAATTGAAAATAGTCTGTGTAACGTTATCATGAACTTAACACGAGAAAATTTTCGTGTGATGATTTTTTATGACTTTCGATGTCATCTAAGTCAACAAGAAAGTTATGATAGACTATGGACTTCCACGATGAAGCCCCGTCTCGTGCCACTGTTTACAACTGGTTTAATGAGTTTAAACATGGTCGCACTAATCTCACCGATGATTTGCGTGAGGGACGGCCTTCTACGGCGACAACCGAAGAAAACATCCGTGTTGTGCGGCGTATGATAGAGACTGACAAAAGAATGACCTATTAGCAGATCGGGGCAAGCTTAAAGATTGGTATGAGTCAAGTGCACAAAATCGTCCATGAACATTTGGCGGTCAGGAAGCCTTGTGCCCGGTGGATACCTTATAATTTCACTGAGGCTCAAAAACACCGTCGGGTTGATTGGTGCCGTGAAATGCATGAAAGATTTAACGGAGGTGACTCAAATTCTGTGTTTAACATAGTTATGGGAGACGAAAGCTGGATTTACTGTTATGATCCCGAAACTAAAAGATAGTCAGCTCAGAGTGAAGGGAGGTATAGGAAAAAAGATGGTGGCCTCGTTCTTTGGAAGAACAGGTCATTGCGCGACAATTGTTTTAGAGGATCGAAAAACAGTTTGCAGAGTGGTACTATTGTTTCTGAAAAAAGCGTGAGAAACGATCGCAGATCCTCCTTCACCACGACAATGCTTCGTCGCACACCGCCAGGCAAATGATCGATTATTTGGCGACCTCAGACGTAGAACCACTGGGTCATTCGCCTTATAGCTTCGACCTCGTATCTTGCGATTTTTATTTATTCCGAAAAATGAAAGAAAAAGTTCGAGGAAAACGTTTTATGGACGCCGAGGATTCGGTGGCTACGTTTCAGAAGGCCGTCAAAGAGACCCCTAAGGACGAGTGGGCAAAGTGCTTTTCTCAGTGGTTCTATCGGATGCAGCGATGTATTGACGTGAATGGACGCTATTTTGAAAAGATAAAATAAAGGTAATAACTTGCTAATTTAATCAGTTTTTGATTTTCTAAGAACTTTCAGTTTGACCCTCGTAATTAAGTTGGGGGTTTACGCAGCATTATTTTAACATTATGTACATACTTCTAACGACCATTAAAAAAAGTTGTATTATTCCCTTTTTGAGGTCTGCTGCAATACGCACTAAGAATGACTTGAAATAGAATTATATTATATATTGAATTGTTTGGTAATTAGTGTAATAACAGGTTATTGTAGGTATAAGGAGAAATAGGAGAGATCTCTGTTCATTGGTCGATTAATATGTTGTACTTTTTTTAATATATTATTTTTAAGATATTTGTGAGAACCCTAATCATAAGTATCGCATTGTTTAATTGTCAACACCCTTATCTATGCAAGATGTCATTAACTCAACATCTCAAACATGAAAAGTACACAAAGATATCATCTGCAAATATACCAACCACACTTAATTGTTATTATTCAATTAATAATAGAAATTAAGAAACATTATTGCATGTAATGTAATAGGTATATTAAATTTTAGAAGGAACTAGAAAATGCTGTTGCTATATTGCCAGAATATAAATAGCTCTGGATATAACATACTAGGTAGTTTTCTCAACCCATAATAAACCACTTACAAATCTATAAAAACTACTACTGCAATAAATATAACTTTACCTGGAACCCCTTGAGGTGCTGGTTGCTGAACAATTGGGGCTGGGTAACCCGGTTGCGCCTGAGGATGAGGGTAACCAGGAGCAAACCCTGGTTGGAAACCTGGTTGAAACCCAGGTTGAAAACCAGGTTGAAAACCAGGCTGGAAACCCGGCTGCATACCAGGCAGTGGATGAGCTCCAGGTGGCAGCATGGGTCCAGGATGTGGCATTGGAACTGGAGGCCCTGATGGTGGCCCAGGATAGCCAACTTGAGGATTCAGTGGATAACTTTCCTCAGTTTTACCATGTTTTGGAGGTGAACCATAACCTTGACTTTGTGGAAAATTGGGAGAATATGGCATTTGTTTGTGCGACATGTCTCAATGGTTTCCTGAAAATTTATTATTGTAAATTAAATAACACAAATTATCATGAAGAACATTCATTCAGAATCACTATTTACTTCCAGTGAAAAATTTACTTCAAATATTAATATTTAATATTCTCTTTTGTAATAAATGTATAAGATCTCTCGTTAGAAATAAATGTGGTACTTATTCAATAATAATAATAACCCCAGGAGAATTCACACAGCGCCTACATGGCGCTGTGCGAATTCTCTAAAGTCTAATTTATTTAGTCTAGCAAAGCTAGTGTTATGAATACTAGACAGATAATATAAATACTTAAATATGTAATGTACATAGAAAACATCCAGACTAATAAATATAATCATACTTACGTATACAAATGTTTGTACTATGTAAGAAATGAAACCTGCAGCCATTGGAAGTAAGGCGGCATGCTAAACCACTAGACCACTGAGGTCATCAAAAGGTTTATTTTTATAATTAATTTTATTCTAGCATCCTTGTGCTTTCAGAACTAAAAATATAATTGCTTTATGTAAGACATTACTTCACTTGATTAACTTTCAACAGAGGCAAGGAAAAAATAAATTTTACTTTTTGTTTTCTTTAATCAGAAAATCTACTATAATATTTTTGCAAGAATTTATATAAAACTATAAATATAGGGTACTTGAATTAATAATGAGCGTTTTTTTTCGAAGTTTACAGATTTATTTTCAAATAATGGTTGCAAATTACATATATTGTTAATACTGCGATTATCAGTATTGTGCGACGCTTATCCTTATGAGTTGAGTCCGATAGCAATTCCCCATGATTCTTTCAATCCGCTTGATTGAGTAGCTCAGTAGCAGATGACACTGCCGGTTACACCAAATACAGAGCAGAGCATAAGCTTCATGCCATGAATATTTGGCTTTGCGAAGGATGTCAATGCTGGATGGCAGGCCGAGCAGAACCAATGACTTTTTGCGCTTGGGGTTGTCATAACAAATCCACTTTTCATCGTCAGTAATAATGCGATGCGTCAGTAAAAACACTTTATCTGATACGAAATTGGATATGAACGAGACAATATTTAGTACTGCTGTATATGTTTTAGCCAAATAGTACAAACTATTTAAGACAAACAGAGACTGTAGGTTTTAGAAGGACGATATTGAGAACTGGAATATTGAAACATACACTAGTGGCAGCTTTTTGATCGAAACACTCTTTATTAATTCATGTACCCTATACTTATAGGACTGTAATAGTTTTAGTTTTATAGTACTAATTAAAGACTTGTTTCCAGAACATTATGGAAAAATTATAAATATTAACAAGGATTAATTGCTTATGTACAATGTAATATTATTCACAATTAGTATTAATATTCATACTATATTGTGCTTATTATTCTAAACCATGTATACATTCCATAAATAATATTTTGATGTAGTAATAGTACTTGTGGTTTCTTCTCTTGTATGATCCATTTGATGAGCATGTGTGTACACATACATATAATGAAACATATTTTATCTTCTATAAGAATATTATTTAATTAATATTTGTATTTAAAATTATTGTTATTAAATATAATAAGATCTCTAATATTTCTAAAAAATATACAACCCATGTTCCTTATTGATAATGCTTTATACTATTTGTATTGTTTTTTTACAGTACATTCTTAGTGGTTAGAGTATAGACATCCTCAGTGGTCTTGCAGTTTAGTACTACTTATATTGCTTCCTATGTATATTACAGATGTATTTTAAAAGAACATCTTAGTATTTATATCACTTATCTAGTACCGATAAGACAATATCTGCTATGCTTGGGATTAGATGGAATTGTGTTAGTTGTTTAGTGATATTAATATGAACAAAAAAAAACAGATATTAATAACATCTTTTCTATTTATAATATCAGGTACTATTATATGATACTCAAATTCAAGTAAAGATCATACTCCTTCTTGAAAGGCTAGCAACTCACCTACAATTCCTCTAGTATTGTGCGTGCTTGAGAGCAACTGTAAACTCTTACCATAAGGTGTGTGTAGTCTTGTTTCCCCTAATCCTACAAAAAGGTAATAATTATCATAATATAATTTTTCTGTAAGTATATTTGTCACTTAACTCCTAAATGGCTGAACCAATATGGATTAATTTTAGTGATTTCCTGAAACCAAGGGATTTATAATTGCTATTCAAGACCATGTAGCAGAGTTCACATTTTTCTAAGGGACATTGTAATTTTCGGTGTCAAATATTAATAGATAATATTAATATTAATAAATAATAATATTCTATAAATCGACTGTACACTTCATAAAATTACTTAGGAATTAAATAATAAATACTATTTTAGTATTAATAGTAGTCGTAACTGCACCTACCGAGTGAAAAATAATATTTGCAGACTTAAAATCGATGCGGTTTCTAAGAAAACGGAGGACAACATTGTAAAATATATTACTAAGTAATATATAGTAGTGGTTAATTGTTAATGTTTAGGATATATCGTAAAGTTCGTTATATTCGTTGATAAATATCTGATTAGTACTAATAGCGGAAAAGATGTAAAAATAGACTTCTGGTTCTAATTGGAATCTAAAATTATACTCTACTAAAACAATATATTTATGTGTGTATATACATAATTAAGCACTCACCACTTATCTAAAATTAGAAAAATTATGTCATGCACTGAACTATTAACTATTACTAAATGTTACAGGATTAATGAGTATTATTCATTGAAATATTTAATCATTCTTTCGTTTCTATTTATTTTTGTTTTGTATGTGTCACTCACCTGTGCAAGTATGTAATCACTAAGGTGATGGATATTTTTAATGTGGTAACTATAGTCTATTTTTCATCACAGAGATGAATTTGACATTACCTATGTTGCCTATTGTTGCGATTCTTTAATATGTAGAATACAGAAATATATAAAATTCTATAGACACTATCGGAAATTAACTTGTATTACCATTGTTATTTATTTAAAACGCATTAACACAAAATTATAAAGTATGTTTTAAATTATTATTATTGTTGTAAAAAATCACCAATACTTTTTTAAATCTGTTGTAATGAGTTTTACATAATCACCCAGCAATATTTCTGAGTAAGCTTTAAAAAGTTTAAGAATCGTAAAAGCTACCAACATATGTAATGTATATATTTGTTTCTCAAAAAAAAAAACAAAATTTTATATTTTAGTGGCAGTTTTCTACCATGTTAATTTTATATGAAAAACTGGCAATTGCAAGAAAGGGACAGAATTAATGAACACTGTCTCAAAACTTCCATCCTAACAAATCCTGTTCTACAGAAAACGGAGGAATAGATTTTAAATTCATCGCGGTATACCTACTATCCAGACGGTAAAAAATTTATTTAATTAATATTAATTATATTAATTATTAGAATTAATAAATTAGAATATTAATTATTCTCTAAAGAGAATATAATTGTATAACTGTATAGCTACTGAGAACCGCAGCTTTTTATTGAATCAAAAATTAAGAAAGTATCTAATAATTTATAATAATAATAAACTAAATAACTCAAATTATTGAACGTAGGTGTATTAAGTACACCTCCGTATATCATTAATAATCATTATACACACTTTTTTTATATGATAAGTAGGAAATATAGTATTCTATCAGTTAGATTTTTACTTTTTTCGTTCCACTATTACTGACTCTTTTCTGTTCGATCTACAACAAAAAAGACGGTCTAAAGTCGTGCCGTGGCTTACAGACGCAGTATTTTTTTGGTTTTCTATGGACGTAGTACAGAAATTCGAAATGCGTGCTAAATGATTAATGAAATCAGAATAATAAGCATAAAACTTACAAATTTGGACCAAAATGTTGCCATATGTAAATTATTGTATATCTGATGGGAAATTTAACAAATTTAGAACTAGTGTTGGAAATGGAATAAAACACATAAATGGACATAGCGTGAGTAGAGCAGTTAAGTCTGAATAATAGTACATGTCTTTTTATTCTTAGATTACCTAGTGACACTATGTTATATATTTAAAGTCTATCTGTATAAAATAAAATAACAGTAATTACATATCAACTCGTGGGGCCTAGGCAATTAAAAAAAATGTCTATTGAAGAGAGGTAAAATAAATTTATATATATAAATGACACATGAATCAATTGTTGTATAATTTTTAAATAGCTAAATGAATGTTGAAAAATATCATTCTGCTCTTTTCAATTTCATAAAGACAAAAAAAAATTTAGTTTCTTTAAAATACGCTGTGAAATGCACTCGGTACTACTATCGCTAAATAATTGTACTGCTCAATGGTTTTCTACTGTTATCTACTATATACTATCCAATAAATATCCCCTTGGGGACTTTTAGGCAGTTGCCCACTCTGTTCATAGGTAATCCGGTAATGTATACAAAATAAATGCTTTAAGGTAGATAAGTTAAAAAAATGTGTTTTGTGCATGAATGCATAGGGAATACTTATAAATATGACTATTTTTTATTCATCCATCCATATTTGTGTGAAAGTAAAAGTGTGTATGTATTTTTGTTACTTTTTCACAACTTAATGGATCGTAATGAAATTTGACTGAAATATGAATTAAAATATTCTGTCAAGGTTTAAATAAAATAATGAATGCAAGCTAAGGCAGACGAAGTCGCGGATGTGTGTAAATAATAATATTTATATAAATTAAATAATACAAAAACAATAATACTTCGGATAGGACAATGTGAAAAAAATAGTATAATTTACTTCTATATTCTGGCAACACTCGTATCCGGTTGGTACAATTTTCCATTCACCAATCAAACCATTGCAGTAAAGTGCATTGACCAACCTGCTGTTGCTCTCTTCTGATTTCAGCAGGGATTGAATCAGTTAGTTACTTGTTTGCTTCCGCGTTTATACTTACTACGAAATGACTAGTCGAGCACCACGATGCAACCTGTGATGTTCGAGTTGTTTTGCTACTCGTTATTGAACTAAAATGGCGTCGCTGTTTATCAATTAGTTTGTTTTAGTGAACCTTCATAGTGATCGCATCCGAGTGAGTCATAACCGTCATAGCAATGACATTTTTATAGCACACAGTGAGAATACGTTTAGAAAACTTTCCGTGGAAGACTAGTTAGTGTGATTTACAGAGCACAATAATGCGCGAATTCAAAGTGGTCGTGCTGGGATCGGGTGGGGTCGGGAAGAGTGCTTTGACTGTGCAGTTTGTGACTGGATGTTTCATGGAAAAATATGACCCCACAATAGAGGACTTCTATAGGAAAGAAATAGAAGTGGACAATTCACCATGTGTTTTAGAAATATTGGATACTGCCGGCACAGAACAGTTCGCTTCAATGCGTGATTTGTATATAAAAAATGGCCAAGGTTTTGTCGTAGTATATTCACTAACAAATCATCAAACGTTTCAAGACATCAAACCAATGAAGGAATTGATAACACGCGTCAAAGGTTCAGAACGCGTGCCTATATTGCTAGTTGGCAACAAAGCGGACTTGGATCATCAGCGCGAGGTTTCGCAGACGGAGGGCGCGGCCCTGGCACAGATGTGGGGCTGCCCTTTCGTGGAAGCTTCCGCTAAAAGCCGCACAAACGTCAATGAAATGTTTGCTGAAATCGTACGTGAAATGAACGTTAGCCCTGAAAAGGAAAAGAAACCTTATTGTTGTTGTACAGTGCTTTAATATTTAGAGTGTAATGTGGCATTTATTTCTCGTAAGACTGCAAAGGCGCGGCGGGAGTGTGTCCGCCTTGCCCTGACGGCCGGTTGCCCCCAGTGGGGCGGTCAACGGCGACGCGCCGGCCGTGGCCGCTGGACTCATGGCGGTCGCAATGCGCGTCATATCATGTTGTTAATATCTTTGATACATACCATTGTCCAATCGAGGTGCTTTATCTTATATTTTCATACTTTAGTACTGGTAGATACTCCCGCAGTAACCATTATAATATAATATGAACAAAGTATCCTATTTGGGGAACTTAACATTATTGCAAAAGAATATCATAATTAGTTTGGTTTTGTTCATCATAAAAGGACATGCATGCGAAGGATGTTGGAATAAACAAAACATGTATTGTAAAGTAATGTTAGTCAACTTGTATATAATTTCATGAGATTAATGATGTCGGAGGACTTGGACGGTGTAGAGAATAAAAAAAGCCATCCAAATAATATGCAATAATTGTAAATGTGTAGAGTGGAGTGAGATAAATAAGAATTTACACCTAAGTCATGTCGCAGACTGTGTTTTATTGTGTAAATTATGTTTGTATGAGAAATCAGTACTCAAGGAAATACAGTAAGAATTGTCAGTTGCGTGATTGTGTTTTAAGTCTACCAGGATTTGTGATAATACATTATAACAAAGTATCTATAATAAAAGTTTTAAGTGGGAGATTATAAAGTGAAGTTTTATTCAACAGAATCCAAGGTAAACACTATATTTTCATTATTACATTGCTTGTTTAGACTATTATAATTCTTTACTAAATAGCTACAAATATCTTTGTAGTACGACATATCAATTTTAATCACTATTTGAGTGTTACATACAATAACTAACTGTATATAAGGGTTTGCTCTTTCTATTATATATATGATTCCTCATAGCTTTTTAATATTTAAAATGTGGTCTCACAGTTCACTCGGAAACCTTTATGGATCATCAGTGGTCTGTGAACAACCAGTTAAGACCCACTACACTAGATAAGCTAAATAATAATATCAACATCTGTTGTAACTGGTGTAAATGACAATGTTTTGGTAGTTAATAAGGGTATTTTTGAAATTTTTGATACTGTTGTTATAATTCTTAATGCTCATGCAATGCAAAACGATACTTTTAATTGGTGCATTCTGAATTATATATTTCTATTTAGAATGCACCACATAGTTCTGTTTCACTTATCTAGGTTCTGGTGATTTGGATGAGTCCCAACCAATTAGGGTAAAACATTTGTATGAACTTTAGGACTACTGAACTATTCTTATTCCCCATAGTATCAGAGGTTATCAATTATGTTCTGTGCATATTACATGATAATGTCTGCTATTCCAAACTGATTTTGATGATAACTATCAATATCCAATGCATAGGGATCAATTGCTAATTTGTAGGAACAGGTCTAAATATTATGTCTATGCCAAATTTCATCATGATTAAGCTGTTGAGGCACTGAGATATAATAAACACAAAATACTGACACACTCACTTGTGTTTATTATGTCATTTTTCTTTGAAATTTACTTAATATTTCTATAGATATAGAGTTTCTATAGATTTCAAAAGGTTCATCAGTATATTTTGCTTGTATGATTGTGATAATCCTTTTAGTAATGAACAGTGTTTTATATATATGAATTTCTTAGTGATTGTCTTTTTTATGTCAAACATCATTCATAGGCTACACACATATTATTCTAAATACAACAACACAACCTGTCTGCAAAATTGCAAAAGAAATTAAAAAACAACATTTGCATTTAAGTAATGAGTGCAACATATTGAATAAGTTGGTATGTTTCTACCTATGTGCACAGTCGAAAAGATTTTAAATTCAAATATAGATTTTTCTTATAAAAATAGGTACATAATATTTAGAGCTGTGCTAGAATGATATCCAGTTAATATCATTCTGTATACAATAATTGGTATCCTACCATAGGGTAGTGGTGGCTTCCTAATATTTGTTCAGCTGAATGAAGAATAGAATTGTTTAATTTATTTTTATTGAATCCCAGAATATACTATATATGCTAGTGCCTGCTTCCATTTGCCTTATGCCTATGAATATAGGTTTACTAGCTGGGCCCGCTGTTTCACCACAATGAAATTTTTAGTATACATGTTATTCTGATTTATAAGCTACATTACTGTCAAAGTTTCATCAAAATCTCTTCAGTAGTTTTTTGCATAACAAACATCCATCCATCCATAATCACAATGTTTATAATATTAGTAAAAAGAAAGATTATTATACCTACCAATGCTTTTCATAACATGGTTGAGAGAGGTTTTTCATGGGACACGACACTAGCATAGCGTAACTTGTCATTGACAAGTTACGCTATGCTAGTGTCGTGTGTATCCATTGGGATATAGCTATATTGACCTTCTATACATTAATTTAACTAAATAAATTTACATAAGGTCTGAATTTAATCAATAATACAAAGATAACAAATGTTTCAATAAATACTAGGCAATTTAATCCAAAATTAATACATTAATCCCTGGCCTTAAAACTACCCATACAAAGTTTAGTAATTAGTAATCTTTATTGTAAGGTGAGTGAAATTTAGAGATATAATATTGAGTGAATAGTAGAATGTAATTATGCCTGGTAGCATAATATGGAGACTAGTGTGCTTCATAATATGCTACCATAGAAGACCTAACATAATAATGTTAATACCTACTTGTAAACTACTGTAACAGGATAATTATAATAAATATTTATAGTCTGTTTATTAGTTAGGAAATATTACCATAGTACCAAAATGCTAACACGACTCTAGATAAGGTGCCTTAGGTGTATGCGCTTGGTTTTTAGTGCGTAAAAGAAATTAAAAAATCTTAAGATTCTACAAGTAGGTAGTAGTGACTATAGAGGAAGTTATAGAAGAGTATAATATGATATAGGACTTGCAAGTTACGTGTTATCTTGGTTGGTCATATTAAGCGGGATATCAGAGAGATATCGTATTAGTGTGAGATAATAAAATTGTTATAATATAAGATTCATGGAGCTCCTAGATTCCTAGTCTTTAATATAGTAAGTTATGTTAAACTCAAAATATAAATTTTATTATATTATTATCATTACATAGTATAAAACAAAGTCGCTATCGCTGTCTGTCCGTCCCGTATGCTTAAATGTTTAAAACTACGCAACGGATTTGAAACGGTTTTTTACATGTGTACAAAGCCAGGGCGAGTAGCTAGTAATAATATATAACATTTTTGTACCTTAAAAGAATACCTACACTAGAATAGTAATTATTATGATTGATTTATTCTTATCGAGTGCCTATATTGCCAGTATTTTGTCTTTATGACTTTGAACAGGTAAGTATAGTGGATGTAACGGGACTGTCTCCTTGAAGCAATAGTAGCTACTTGTCTCAGGTAAACGAGTGACTGGCGCGTGTTTACTAGGCACTGCTATACTGCAGTGGTTGTTGGACCGTGACGCGCGGTGCGCAACCATCCCCGGTTTCTAAATGCTGATCCAATTCTATTGCGATTATTTTATGCACAACATCGATTTCTCTGTCCGTCGCGAAACGTATTATTTTTTACTAAATATGTTGCTCAAATGTGTATTATAAATAGTAATGTACGTCATTTAATTAGATTGAATAAATTCCACTGAATTCTATGTAACATCAACATGCTAATTGTTGATTTCGATAGTACAAATGCAACTTAGTCATTATCTGTCATTATCTATTGTTATTGTCATGAGGTAATATTTATTTGTAGAGTGCGTACCAAGGTTAGTGACGTATACTCCTATTAATGAAATGTTCGTACTACTGCGATACACGTCATTACGAAGATCAAAGAATCAGAATCAAAGATGAACTGGCTAGACTCACTCGAGCTGCGGTCCCCTGGACGACCTCTTTACTACCATAATTAATCTACCTACTAGTAATGTGCTGTTTTAGGCATAAAAGATGTTTTACAATTTGATTTTATTGCCCCTTGAGACTAACCTATTTACTTCCCTTCAGCGATTGTTAGTATGGAAGCATGTTTTTACTGGACGTGGTGGAGTATAAGTCAATGTTTCGATTGCTCAGTCGTTTGATCATTTCGTGCGCTCCTACTGTTTAGATGCCGTTACTGGCCCAGATAGAGTTAATTCGTCCGGACGTTGACGGTAGGGTGTTGTAATACCTTTAATAAATACATACGTACCAAGTTTACTTCCCCGGGTTGTTACAGTTGCTGTTAACTGATGGAAATAGTGTAACCACGGGTGTCAACATTTGCTTGCTGGCCTTGTTTATTTTAGTAGGAATCGTCATTCGAAATTTCAACGTAATTACGTAATATATGTTAGTCACGGTTGGTATTATTTTTATTCATTATTATCTGAAGTAATGGAAATTATATTCTGCTATATCTTAAAAGACCTACTTACCTAGTTAGAAATGTAAAAAAATGTATCATAATATTTGCCTATTAATTTCACTACTTACGTAGGCAGATACAAAGAAATATATTCTGATTTACTGCGTTCTCTACATTAGATATCTAGATTTTATTTAACTAATTTTTACGAATATACGCCACAATATATGCTACATACTACTACTATTCTAATATACGTAGAGAAAATTGATGAAACGGATTTCATTAGTAGAGTTCCTGGTTCAAAGGATTGTCTTCTTATGAGGCGTTTCGTGAAGTAGTTAAAATCGTCATACATCACTCACTCTGTATTATTCAGCTACATCTTTTTTATTTGTTTTACATGGCAATATTTTTTAAACATATATATATTTATATAAATACCGACGAATACCTTAGTGGTAAACTGCATTCATTTCCAGATTCTCCAGGGTTCGTTCTTGCTCAATACAAACATTCATTATGCCATGAATTGTTTATGTATTTTGTATCCATATCTATTTATTTTATGAAAAATGTATTTATATACTATCAGTTATTTAGAAATCGTGGTGCAAGTATCTGATTAGTTTGGTAGCTAAATGGTGCTATTTCTTATATCCGGCCTTATTATTATTCTTTTTCGCAAATAAATTTACAAAGCTCAATATGTACACAATTGTTTTAACATTTCTCGCTATAAATCCTCAAGCGTGTGAGTGTTAATATTGATTAAACAGTTAAAAATAACGTTTGAAATTATTGTCGTATTAGTGATTTTACTTCGTCAATCCTATTGTGATAACCGAAAGTTAAACAATGGCATAAATTTTGCGGTTATAAATTTTTCTGATCCAATAAAACTTACAAGTCGTTACACTTCCTCGTGTGTCGGTAAAATGTCAGCTGTAGCTGTGGAATAAGGTTCCATCGTCATTTAAGATAATTGATGTTCTCGAGTAGGTGCTGGTTGTGAAGAGACATTACTTTTAGTAATATATACTTCCATACTGCCACTATTAAGTTTTATTACCATTTAACGACTCGCTCCATACTTCTTGTTCGTGTCTGAGGCTA